CCCCTAGGGTTTTTCAAATATCTCAGCGAAGGAAGAGTTCTGAGAGTCGAGAAGGTGATATTCGTGATCAGCATGACTTAATCTATCTAATGATGTAAGAAAAAGCGGAAAAAAAATTCCACTGTAAATTTGCTCTGCGTGCATCTTAACTCATCCGACTTTGAAGTCAATCTATTTTCTTTTTTTCTTTTTAGAAGTTAGGCATATATGGTTAGTGAAAACAGACCTACACGGATCCTTATTCTTTATTTTTTTCAACTGGAACGCATTTGTCTTTTTATGTACGATGAAGTGATACCTTTTTTTACAATTCTCCTTTATATATACAAGAAACAAAAATGACTTTTTATGCAGCATGTAAAGAATAAAAAAGAGAATCATAAAAGATGTCTGAGAAGATCGACGGTCATCATCTAACGTTACTGTTATTCTTCTAATTAAAGATTCATTTAACGCAATGAATTTGTATTTCGGTCGGTGTTCTGACTGTTATAACTGGAATGTTAGATGACTCTAAAACTGTGACTATGTCTACATATTATTACCTTTTGTCCCTGTTATACGTCATAACAAGATATCATAGAAAAAATATAATGGTGGTCAAAAATAACAAACCGAAAGATAAAGCAAGTCGAACAGATGTTGAATTTCATGACGATGATGGCCGAAGTATTTCGATTAAGAATGTATTGTCATCACTGTTATTGTCGATGTAGAAAAAGTATTTGTTATTGTTTCTCTTATTCTGTGTGATGTAACTGTTGTCGCCGTTGTTAATGTGGATAAAGGTAATGATGATGACGATTGGTAATGGGTCATTGGACCTTTAACTATCAAAATATTGCACATATTTTATTTTGTGTAATTTATATCAGACTGGAGCAATCTGTACTACGTACATGTAGTTTTCCGAAATCTGTCTGAAAATGACCGAAACTGTTTTAACAAAATTAGAATGACCATACCCACATCCCTGTAAGCTATATGGCACTTCAATATGACTTAAACAAATAGGACAACGTGCCCTATTACTTGACAATAATGAAGCGCTAATTGAATACATTGAGTCCTCTATTTTTTACAGATTTAACTATTGTGTTTTTTTTGTGACATAATCATGTCTCTAATCCGATGTCTGTATTATCGCTATTAAAAATAAATCTACAAAATAACGTGATGAATTCCACCAGAAAGTCTTAAAATTAATACTTTATTTCAAAAAAGTTCTTTTCATGAACAATCAGCGATATACGCAGTAAAATAAAACTGTTGTACTCACAAGCAGTTATAACTTTACAAAAGGTAAGAAATCCGATGAACTAAGATTTTCTTGACTTTCGTAGCCTTTACGTATCTTCTGACAGTTTAATGATCTCTGTTTTTTATCAATGTACGGTCATATAAACACTTCATTTGCTTAGCTCTCTTGCTCAGTTATCTATACTATGCCCCGTAAACTTATGTATTTACCTTTAGTTTTAATTGTTCTCTTCATCTAGAACATATTTAAAAAATGATTTGAACATGTGAAGGAATTATCAGTCGGATGTGACATAAATATAAAGATTTGATGTTTGTGGTTGAGTTAAATCATTGAAATTCAAATTTCCTCGATTGTTGAATCCACCCCCATTGAAAAAAACTGGATTCGGCAAATGCATGTTCACTGTTACAAAACCACCTTTACTCCAATGATTTTTTAACGATGGATTGCAAGAAAAATCAATGATGTTTTCCGGATTATTATTGTTATTCCAACCACAAGCATAATCACAACCCATTATCGCTGGTCGATGACCAGTTAGCGCAGCTAGTTGATCAAAATGTTTTCTAGTGAATGTATCAGGACTATAGCCGCCAAACAGATCTGATAATACTTTGCCTGAAAGATAAGGCAAAGCTTCAAGGATCATTCCTTAGTCTTGCTATATTGAGACATTTACACAAACTGTTGCATATTAATGACGGCTCAGCGAACAGCAGAGTTGCAAGTGATATCATTCTGTAGAAAAATGTTTACTCTATCTAACTGTACTATTAAGAAAATACAAAAGTATAAAGTCTCGAAAGTATGATATTCTTAAAGCTGGTAATTGTTGTACCTGTTATATAACTGATTGTAACTTTGAATTCAAACTTTCACTGGTCTCTACAACTGATTGATTGCTTCCGTATAGATTCTTAAACCAAGCATTTTTGTACAAAGCAAGATATTTTGCAACCTGATATGAACTCTATTCTTACAAGCGGAAAAAATTCCATTATAATAGTCTAAACTAGAACTGTCGAAAAACACAAATCAATTTTGTACAAATAGATAATCGAACACATGAACTTAGCCCTGCAGTAAACTGCAAGAATAAATCCACTGCTCTGTGTCTTCTACACTTTGCACAATGATTGACCTTGTGCGATCGACTCGACGTTACCATTGACGATTTTTACGGTTTATTTTTGTGTGTTTTTATAGTACCTTTGTTACACTCCTACCTTTACTAGGTAATTGGGATATATAATTCAAAACTTGAGTCGTTTTAGCATTTGCGTTCGTATCTGTAGTTTTTGCATATACCAGAGAAGACAGCAAGGATATAAAAAATAGACGGACACATTTTACGTTTAAATTTTAGAAGTACTTCTAGTTTCTATCTATTGCACTTATAATATATATATATGTTAAGGCGATGCATTTAGTTTGGCAAGTATTGAATTACATTTGTATTAAAATAAAGAAAGAGAATGTTTGATATGAATCTTTTTGAAGTCTCGTATTTAGTATAAACTTTTTTATTTATAAAAAAAAGAAAGAAAAGAAATGGCACAGGAACAAAAATCGCAATTGTTGTTGCATTATATCGAGCAATGCACTCTTCTACTAGAAAATTGAAGACAGAAAAGAATGATAAATAAATAAATGAAACAAAAAGATGAAAAGGATGATTCATCTGACAACAGGAGTGTAATTGGTATCAAAAGCGCGATACCGGTGCCGATCACCGATATACAAACTTCCTACCGGTACCGGCTTGTCTTGAGCATATTTTGCCTAAATAAAAATATTTTTCCTTGTTTTTCTTTACTATGAACTTTATTTTATATTATCAAAGGGATAGATTAATCTTTTCACTTTGATTATGTATAGCTAATTTTTCACACGCTTTTTTTTATGAAAAACAGCAATCCAGTTCAATCTTTTAATTTAAGAAGTTTATACAAGCCGAGAGAGTTTATAATTGGAATGAAATTTTAGTGGAAGAAATATGTCACAGATGAACTGAATTTACACGATGTTTTTTGAAAAAAATCATACTGCAAAATACCAGCAGTATCGGCCGGCCGATTACTTCATACTAATGCCGCTATACCAGTCGGCGTTATAATTCGTACGAGGATACCGATACCGGTTGCACCTCTGTCTGACAGTAAATGTCAGGGATATACGCTGTTCACAAATATTGTGAGCTGTAATTTTATGTTTTATTAGATGTAAACGAAGTGGGAGAGAAATCAACTCTTATACGACAGTGAAGAGCCTCTATTCCATGCTCGCGAAAAGTCAAAAAAACCCTCTCACAAATTGAGATTCCTCCATGAATATAACTAAGAAGGGTCACGAATTGGTTCGCGCAAGAATCTTTTTTGATGAACAGAGATTAAATTATTTTTCATCAGATACTCATATAAATGCTGAAATACAATTCTTTCCATTACTTTATCTAATATTCCTAACAGTGTTATTGGCCGATAGGTTTGGATAACATGCGGATCTCCGTTTTTGAATACTGAAAGTACCGACCCTATTTTTAAGAAATTCGGAAAAATAGATTGTCTGATCGTATCGTGGATAATATCAGCTAGCAGAGGAGCAAGAACACGAGCTAATTCCTTAGCTATTCTCGATGTTATTCTATCAGCTAAAGTTTTGTGAGGTTTCAGATTCTGTATTACACTAAGCACCTCTTTTTCAGTGACTGTAACCGATTTCATTTTACATTGTGTTTTAAGAACAAAAGATGGAAATTGCTTAGTAAGGTTAACTTGAGACATTGTGCAAGTAGACGCAAAATATTCGTTAAAATGTTTAGTTTTTTTTTCCCGGGCCATCAATTGTAGTACGATTGTTTAAGAAAATGGAAGATATCATACTTACCTCTACTAATAACATTGTTACTGTTAAAGGCAACAATAAAAATAAGAACTTAAGTGCAATTGCGGCTGCAACACCCTTAACCTGATTATACATAATTAAGAGTTTATTTATAATAAATAGAAAACTTTTATTATTAAAACATGAATTTTGAAATAGTAGTACGGGAGAAACATCGCTATAAACTACTAGTAAAAGAATCGCTAGTCGTTAGGGCAATCGCTCCCTCTCTGAATGGTACAGCTCGTTCCGTACCATTATATGTGTATTCCAATGGTATTCGATCAGCTCTATGGGATAGAAGAAGCATCGCGCATAAAGGCTCAGGACTATATACTGTAAACAGCGAGAAATAAAATCACGCCATATTTGAGACGTCCTTTTATTCCGAGAGAATGTTACATGGCCAAAGGCGTTTGATGTCTGTATTTGTATACTATCCGTTTCTTCATTAAACCAAACTGCTAAATTATTTTCAATTCATTTTCGCCCTTT